TTCCCTATTATCCCTATGCTAGTTCAGTCCCTCATCCTCTCCTGACTGAAGCAATGTCAGAGCCTACTTTCTCATCAGTCTCCCTACCTCCCTACAACCACCACAATGATCTTTCTAAAACAGGAACCTGACTCCGCAGCTTAGTATTACTATCACCAACTGTAGTAATTCTCAAACTTGGATAATTGAGTCAGATATGTGTCAGTTAAATGATCTATTATGATACTAAAACAAAATGATGCATCAATTCCTAGCATTTATAGAACTCATACTTCTATAGAAAGCAAATTTACAAATTAAATAGTTGTAGATGTTAACATTAATGTAATGAGTGAACTTGTTTTACGGAGACCAAACTGACTCTGAAGAATGAATATGATGCACATGGTCCAGACACAGGTTGTTTTCCAGATTGGCCTGTCTCCACTGGCTCTGGAAGGACTGTGAATCAATCCTGTTCTTCCCTCCAAATTTGCGCTAAATCTTACCTCAACGAGACGGCATCTGGCCTTCTCTCGACCCTGCATTGTTTAGAATTTAAGACTGCCTTTATTCTTTTTTCATTAGCCCTTGACAATTTAAGAGTACTTGGCCCCAACTCTCATACACATGAGACAGGACTCTATTAGAAGGCGGTTACCCACACGGATGTGGATTGTGCTTTTATTCTCTTTTTGGCTTACCACAGAAATAGAAATAAAGTACTTTAGAATTTTTGAAGAGAACTCAGCCTCGCTCCAAAGCTCTGTCGCAGCCAGTTTCACTTCCGAGGCCCCGCAGCCTCCATTCCCATCACCGGCCATCCCACCGCTAGGTGGCGCTCGCCGACTCCCACCACCGCTCGCCCGGAGCAGTCCACCGGCATCGAGCTATGTCACCCACCCCTAGCTATGATTGGCTATTTCACCGATGACTGGCGGGTGGAGCCAGCCGAGAACCGGAAGCAACGGGTACGGCGAGTGTACAGGGTCCCCAGCCAGTGCGTGCGCATTCAGGTCCTCGCGTCGATTAAGACGCCGCCTGCAGCTCCCCCTCTGGCCTTCAGGAGCAGACCAGAGTCCTCTGTGATGGAGGGTGGAACCTGATGTGGGGTCACACTGATAAGAGCTGGGCCACACTAGGGGGAGGAGTTACGTTGAGAGGAGGGGTCACAATGACAGGTGGAGTCACTCCGAGAGCTGGGGGTCTCCCTGCATGGGAGGAATACACAGAGGGGAGTCGCACTGAAGGGTCCTGGTACACACTAATGTTGGCAGTGTCATACTAAGGAAAGGTCCCGCTGAAGGGGCGGGTTCTCACTGAGGAAGAGAGGGGTGTCCGAAGGGAAGGGCCCCTTGAGGTGCGGGATCTGGCCGAGGGGTGGGAATCTCGCGGAAGGAGGGGCTTTCCCTGTAGGTGGAGGCTCCTCTTTTGTGAGAGAAGGTCATTTGGACGAAGTAGTAAGAGGAAGGTCCAGACTGTCTGTCACTGGGCGGAGGCTCTGGAATTTGAACTTTATTCGAGGGAGGTGGGATGAGGTGAGGAGGAGTCGGGGCCACGCTAGGAATGGGCTGGCCAAGGGCCACGACCCTGGGCCATCACAGGCGACCGAAAAGGAAGATGATTCCAGATGTGTAGGATGTAGGGACAGAGACCTGGGAAATGGGCAGGTTGGGACAGGGAGGTGGTTTGTTTACTGGGCTACTTTAGATTGTGGCTGGGCCTGAGGTGTCTTTTTCCGCCCTGCTGGTCTATAAAGCCCAGGAATCGTGCAGCTTCCAGAGCCCGGCCCTCAAATGACAGTGACCTCAGGGTGTGAGGGGAGAAAGGACTCACCCGACAGCTAAAAGACATTTGAGCTGCACACATGCACAATCAGCCCTTATTGCCCTTCAGTTATTCTGCCAGGGCCCGATCTTACTCGACCGCGACGCCCCTGACCCACTCTCCTAGGGCATCGCGACCAACCGTTGGGGGTGCGTATCCGAGGGGGCGTGGCCGCTGCTTGGTGGCCGGGCTCGAAGGAGTTAAGCGAGGCCAGGCTCAGCCCCGCCCCTGGCAGGCCGCGGAGCCTGAGCCCCAGCGGCGAAGCCT